CACAGCACAGCAGGACTGTCCACGAGTCACAACTCACCGGAAGTTCCCTCCGGTAGCAAGCGGGAGGCAAATCAAACCACAAGCCTACTCGCAAGACTCTAGCGCAAGACTTCCGCTGCTTTACAAGCCTTCGATTAACCGAGCAGAATCCAGCCCTACTTCTCATACATTCGCACGCATGACAAACTCGTATACATGTTATGTTAACGTCAGGAATCGCCGATATTCGGTTCTTATCGTCAAGTGACCTACTTGTAAGGCCTTGAACTTGAACGTATTCACAAAGCGTGCGTAGTACAGTGTATACATGTACAGATCTACTCAACATAATAATATACTTGTTGACAACCGATGACCTTAAGGCATGGCTTTCAAAACTAAAGTCGCATATATAACCAAAGGCCTCAGAACTAACCGTATCAAAATAACAAGACTAAAATCTTTTACACTTAGCTTTTCAAATGTGTCTACTTGCCTCCTATTCTCTCCGTCTGTAATCACGTGTAGATCTATACAAGATGCTGGTGTAGATGTATTAGCCAAGAGATCTGATGCAAATAGTATATTCTAGATGCATTCTGGATACGATGCAGATATATTCTAGATCTGATGTAGATATATTCTAGATGCATTCCAAATCTGTTTTGGAGAGAAAGCATTCTACTTCTATACCTAATGTAGATGTTTTCTAGATCTTTCATCATGTCTTTTGCCAAGCCAGGATCACCATTTTAGTTAAGAGCAGCGCATCGACACATACAATGACATATATTTATTGATGTCGGTGACAGGCAAAACGACGGGCAGAAACAAAAGAGAGAGTGGTAAAGAGGTAAAGAACCACCAGAGACATATTCAGCCGCACCCCCCCCAAAGGAATCGAATTCATATCTTCAGCGAGTGACCGCAAGGCGCCTCATCTCAACACCATAGACAAAGGGAATCATTGCTATAGATGCCGGTCGAAACCATAGCATGGGCTCAGGATCGCATTTATTTTCATTTTTTTAAGTCAAAAAGGCGGTCGTAACCAGTACTCACTTTTCCGGGTTCTTGACTTCCTCGGCCAGAATAGTGATGATCTGCCTGGGAGGGGTTGAGGAGGGGGG